TTTCCCTACTGTAGAAGTTGTTATAGCTACTTTAATATTTCAGAACACTAATACATGCTATATTCAACAAAATTTAGGAAAGCTGTAGGTAGCTTGATAAATACTTGCTGAGAAACAGGATGAGAATCTCACTTAAGTCAGTGCTATCATGTCTGACAGCAACGAAATGGAAGTTAAAGTTTCATCGTCTTTGAAATAAACATGCTAGAATACATTTAAATCTGATCAATAATACAAGAGGAAAATTATCCCACTGATTTGCTTTCTTCTCCTTCACTGCAATACTTAAGTATTCATGACAAAACCTCTCAAAACTCTAACAATTGTAGGTCTATTACTTGTATATGTGATCTCACAGCATTCATGAATATTACCAGTTGTTTGTTTTTTTAATAAACTAATAATACAGAAAGCCTCTGGGTCCAATACTGATTTCAGGTTAAAAAAAAAAATAAATGAAAAAAACAAACAAAAGGCCATGTGATACTTGAAACATAACCGAAGACTGGCTTGAAACTCTTTATTATTACCAAGGTTTTAATAAATATTTTTCTTAAGTGTGTTCATATATATGAGTTTAAGTATAATAAGGTTTAAATTTTCTTTAGTCAATAAAACCACATATGAAACATTCAGTTCAACACATTACGTATATTTCTGGTATAATTAAAAGACAATAGCTCTGGGTAAATAATTATATTACATATTTATAACTATTGCAAGAATAGACATGTTTTATATAATATTCAAATTTTAAAAAAACAAGATATACAATTGAGAGTATTAGAAGAGGACATTCAAATCTTGCAAAAGATTATCCAATCTTTCTTCTAAAAAATAAAAATCAAAATAATGCAAGTAGTTTTCTGGCCCCTTCTTTCCTCCCCTTCTCCTTTCCCCCTTTCACACACACAAAGCAGCATCACAACCAATTCGTATGTGTTCCCCCTCTAGAAATGTGTCATGGTAAATAAAAGTGGTTACAAAACTGTATCCTCTCTAAATTAAGAGTTCACTGGACACAAACACATAGTAGTGTTTCATTTTAGAATTCCTTCTCCAATGTCAAATCTTATACTAACTTCGATGGGGTGATTAACTGCATTTATGTTCCATAAAAAAGTGAATCAACCACTTTTTCTTTTAAAATTGTCTTTTTCTAGTTGATAAATTACTCAAATTGACTCCTCTCCCACATGCCTTAATGTTACTATTCCACTGCACTGTTTCTCCAAGTATCTAGTGGGCACTCAACACTTGTTGTAGTTAAACGTCCAACTTTGCTTTTCTTACAAGTAATGTATCTGTAGGTACATTAACATTCATAAGGACTTAAGCGTAAATACAAAAAGTAGCCTTTGTAAACAGTTTTCATGTCATACCCAATACAGAATGTTCAATGAAGCATTCAAGCCACTGCTGTTACAACAGAAACAACCTTATAACTCAAATATATATTCATTAGCCAAACATATTCTACGAAATATAAGAGCTGCCAGTGCAAAAGTCAGAAGGACAATCAGAACAGTTGATCCAGTGTGGTTCATGTTGACTCTTGGTTGCTGGACCCGATTAAAGTCAGTTGAAGATGGAACCCGTCTCTGACTCTGCTGCTGGGCACGGCGCTGCCGTGGACTCATAGACGTGTTAGTGGACACAGGTGGAGTACGCTCTTGACTGGCTGCTGCACTGCTATTCTGAGTTTCAGACTAAAAAGGAAACATGGAGATTTGTGAGGCAAGATGCACAGGATAGCGCATGTGCATAAGATTAGCAAGGAATAAAATCATTAGGACTAAAACATAGTCTTCAGATAATTGTTAATACTTGAAAGCCTGACAATACATGCCACTAGTAGTTAAAAGATTGTTATATCCATCATTTTTGTCCATACGCTATCTTGAGAAGTCTATTTCAAGCTGCAAATCAGCAGTTCTAAGGACAAGAAAAGAAAAGTCTGAAGGAAGTCTGTCAAACGTTATTTGAATCCCAGATTCGTTCCAAATCAAGATATTTCAAATATCTTTGTCTAGGAGTTGCTTAACTCTTTGCAGTTCAAGAAATCTTTAATAATCCTCCAGACAGTTAAGACATTGAGGATTTGTAATGTCACCTATACTGAATGGGAAACAAGTTGGGGAAGGCAAGAAAAGGAAGAAGTCCAGAGAACTCTAATTAATCAACTCTGCACTGCTTCCTGTGGACGGTGGGGTCCAAAAGTCTGCTCTCATCACCACCAACACCACAAAAACCCTGAACACAAAACAGCCAAGTGATTCCAGCACAAATTATTGAGCATTGTACCTATGCATGCACATACCTATTGCCCTCTACTGGTCAAACGTCAGTCTACCATTTCATGTAGTAAAAAAAATAAACGCTGGCAACGGATGTTCAACTCAGGAGAGCATTATTCTAAAGAAAATCATTAGTCAGTTTGTAAGATTGAAACTATGGACTCCAATATTGAACTGGCCTAATTCTGCTTGCAATACTAAAAGGCTCAAACTTCCAACGTTTTAATATTAAAAATAGTGACACAGCACAGTTGTTGGAAATAAAAATTTTGGTAAGGTTCAATTTTGAAGTGTTTTAAAAAAAAGTAGCGCTGACAAAGGTTTTTTGGGTTTTTTTTTTTTTTTTAAAATCTTCTTTTCACTTCTCAAAACAGTTTGCAGGTATTCCCACTTAAAGCAACCTGCAGCTATTTTCCAGAGTTAGCTTTCCCTCCCCCCCACCTTCTAAAAGACTGATTATCATTACAGGAGGTAAAACTAGAATTCTGGACATTTTGTATTTGCTTCCAAGCAAAAGCCTTTTAACAGACATAATATCTATAACCCTAAGCACTGTTCTGGCCAGCTACCACATCCACAAAAGATATCCTTTCCACACGGCCAGATAGGGAATGTCTTCAACTGTGTATGAGGTTTGATGATCCAGACAGTAAGCAGTACTTGGTCCTGTGACTCTCCGGCCATGTATTCTACATGTGGGAGAAGAATCTCCAAACTTTCACCTAGTTCGTGATTTAACTAGCCCAGGGAAGAGACCTTCCTTTCCTACCTCCTCGTCATTAGTATTTCCCACTGTTTATTACCACCAAGGAAGTACTGAAGCAATTACTCACATTTGACAACTTGCCTGTTTACATAGGTTTCTTGCCTAAGCAAGCAAGCAGCTTGTGTAGCTTCGAAGAAAAATGTTTTTAAAACATTTATTTTATCAGCAGGGACAGCCAAGAACACCACAAGCAGCTTGTCACGATTTCCATTACACTGCAGAAGAAAGTCATTCTGCTTCATACTGAACCCACTTGAAGGCTCCTCATGCCAAGGAAAATAAAGACTTAAGGAAGCTGAGACTTTGAAAATGAAGTTCCTAGATTCATCTACACTCCCATCTTTCAGAAGGGGAGAGGGAGAGAAGTGAATTCAGGAAGCAAGAACTGCAAATTCAGCAAGCAAAGTGTTATTCTTCTTAAAATAGCTTTTAAAAAGAGGAAAAAAAAAAAAAGTCTAGCAATATTCCTGAGCCTTCATACTTACTAACTAAAGTAACTAGCACTAGCCGTCACACACTTCGGTCTCTTCCCAACACTGCAAATTTTTAATTTAAAAATAAAACAGAAAGACCCTGTTCTGAATGAGACAAGGTGCCCATACACTGACACAAACAGAGCTGTAATTCAAGAGAAACCTCACTGACAATTGCAAGGCTTTAAATTTTTTTTTTTTTTTTTTTTAGGAAATTATACAGATGCATCAGGGCAGCAGAAGACTGAGTGCTTCACCCAAAGCTGAGCTAATCCACTGCCTTGGGATTCCCAACATAATCAGTGACCAAGTATTAGCAGACATGCAGAAGCAAGTTAGATAGGAAAGGAGTGATCATTGCCCAATATAAATTTGGGACCAGATGCTAGTATACCTTAAATAATATACACATCTACATAAAGCTTTTTTTGTTTGAAGACTTCATTATTAAGAATCCCAAAAATGGCAGATGGGCTGTATTATAAATCAAGAAAAAAATAACAATCTTCTTGTCTTCACTTACAGGAAGTTTTTAAATTCTCCTTAAGCAAAAATGTCAAGATTTTTAGACTAACACAACACCTCACATCACACAATTTCCATCCAATTTTAAGTCATTTTCTGCCAAATCATACTGGAAATGTTGGGGAAGAGGGCTTAAGAGACTAAAAATAAAAATATTTAATAAGACCTAGATTGTAGCCACCTTTAGTATCTGATCTTTACAGCCACTGAATATGCACTTTGTGTGTCATTATTTCTGAAGCTTCTGAAACTGTTAGGACTGGCAGAAAACTTTGCTTCAGGGACATCTGAGCTTGATAAGGCTAGTTTAGTAAAATGTACATGTATTAGAATTAACAAAAAGTTCTATCGTATAAAAAAATGCAAGTAAGGAAATTTACACTATGTTCAGTCTACTGAAGAATGGTAGTGTTCACTGCATCACTTCTTATCTCCAGGCCATTATTTTAGAATGTTTTATCAGAATGCTGGAAGTATCAAGTAATCATCTTGGAAGGGATGTTTTAAAAAAACGTAGCAAACGCTGGGAACTCAGAACCACATAAATCTTCTGGGTTACTGAAGCCTCTTTCAGTTACACTCCTCATCTCAGAGAGATACAGAAATAAGAAGATACAAGAATAAGTGAAATACTTGTTTGTCCATATAACTTTCAACTGAAGAACAGCTGAGTTTTGACACAGCATGGCTTAACGGCTAGTAAGAAATACGTCTCGTTTTCGATGAATCAAAGTTGGGCCAAGTACTCCTGATTGCCAAGACATTTAAAATTGCTGCTGTAGTGTTATAACACTTAAGACAGCACTTAACAGTGATAAAAGGAAACACTTTTTAACCATGTATCATTCAGAACATGTGATTAAAAATAAGGGCTTCTATAAATCTCATGTATCAGAACATAGCCTCATTTTCTCACAGAAACCTCCCTCATCAGTTCAAGATTAGTTGACTTCAGTTACACTGTTTATTTCATCACGCCTCATTACAACTCTTCATCCAGTCAGTCTATTCGTGCAGGACACTACTATAGTATATTGTTTAATAACAAGTGTGCTGAGGTTTAATATATTCCCAGGTTATCAGAAAGAAAACTCTGACCACAGTTTTTAGCTTGTCACTTTATAATTCTTATCAAGTATCAATTTTTTTAATCAACTATAAGCACCAAAGTGGGACATCATTCCACATCAATACACTAAATGTAGGTTGCTACAGGCGTTGTAGGAGTTCACACTCCCGTAACAGTCCACATGGATCTAGTCGGTGCAATCAGGGGACAGGCAGAACAATGCAGCCTACCAGCCTTCGCTTCTCCGTAAGCCACAGTGCCCTCCAGCCTCCACTAACTAGTCCCATAGACTGTGATGAGAGTTTTGGTATCAACATTTAGGTGACCACTGGCATAGCAGGTGATTTAATCTAGACCTGAGTCCAACCTGAGTATCTACAATATGTTCATTCAAAAACATTCTTTTGCTCAGATGTGGAAGAATCTCATCTTCTTAATGCTAAGAGCAATTACTTTTATCAAGCCAACTTCCTGCAGTACCTTGCTTGCAATTTGAATACTCAAACAGGAGTAATGAATGTACCATTACTTTGCCCTGAGTAGACATCAACAGCTACCGCAAATTTAAAAAAAAACAACCACCAAACAAATATGCATACATATATATATTGCCAGAAGTAGCCTAGTCAGAGGTGTTTTCTGCACTGGCTTCAGACTCCTCACAACTACTATGCTGCATAATGGTTTAGGTAGCCTATTGTTATAGTGTTAATAATACTTAAAGCTTGTTCTTTGCACCTCTGTATCCTTTTACTCAAGCTGCTGTGGCAGCATTTTCCAGAGCCTCCATGGCAGTATTCCTTTTATTGTTCTCATGTTGTACTACTCATTGCCTTGCATCTGCAAACCTTGATAATGTTGTTATGACAAGTTCTCCTAGGAAGCAACTATTGTTGGTGTAAGAATCATCCCCCTCCCCTCCTTTTTCCTCATTTAAAGATAAGTCATTTAAATACTTGATAAATATTTTCTAATAATATAGGTGCACAAAATTTTAACAGCCAGTGTGCAACATTTGCACTACTGTTGCACACTTTACTCATTGCTAACAGGGCCATGAATGGGAACAACCAATGAGCAGGTCTTGATGAAAAGTACATAGTACCAGCTGAAAAGCATGGCAAAAAGTCATCTTCATCATCACCACGTGCTGCGCTGGAGAGACAACCGCTATCCCTCTGTCTGCTTTTTAAAAAGCAGGAACTCAGGAAATACATATTTGACATTGGACTGTGAAGGTATTTAGTCCTCGGCTACAGAGCAGACCAAAGTAGACACTGTAGTAATTTTGAGTGTGGCATCAAGATATTGGCTGTTGGTCTGGCAAAATGACAAGAGAAGGTGGGGAGGGAGAGAAGTGACCTAGAAGGTGAGGCCAGGCAGGGAGAGCCCAAAAGTCGAGAACACTGATTGCACCTCCCCAACAGTACAGACAAACACACCCATGCAACAATTACATCACACAGTCTCTTGACAGGGAAAAATTTGTAGGACTAAAGTACTGAATAACACAACAGTTCACACTACGATAGCATTGCTGTTAATATAACAATTGCCATTACTAAAATACAAACTATTTCAAATTGAGTTTTGAATCTAAAAATATATTCTTTACTGAAATACTGTAAGTCTTGGTGCTTCTTCAGTCAGTAAGGCTTTATTCCTTTTTCTAAGTGAAAGCTGACAGAAGGGAACGTTAATTCAAAATATCTTTTCTTCTGATGGAATGAGAAATTCTCTCTTCAGGAATAAGGCCCAGTGTGGAACAGGGGGAACGGACTCAAAGCGATACCATGGCAGAGACCCGTTTCAGTGTGCTCCTCACACAAGAATTCAGTTAAACCTATCCCAGGAAGGGCATTACCGCACTCACAGTTATCCTGCCATTAATTCATTGCAAAAATCTCTGTCCTTTTAAGCAGCTTAAAGGTAAAAATCGTGGAATGGACAGTTGTTGCTGGAAAAAACAAACTTGCCCATGAAGCTGTCTGTAGATTGGTTTTCCCATAGTACAACCTGGCCTACATGATTCCCTCCTCTTCACCTACATGTAGACCCTTTCCTTAGCACCTATTTACCATCATGTTTTTAATGAAGACTAGTTACAACTGTTCCAAGAGCAGAAGAAAGGTAACACTTCATTCTTCCTGCATGATTACTGCTATTTTTTTCCTCTGTATTGCGTAGCAGGACATAAGGTCCCATGACTTCAGAGTTAAGCACATTAAATCTACTACACCAGAAGGAATTACGCAAGCTAATACAAAGATCCGGCTTTGGGTCTACCTCTGCCCTTTTTATTCTCAAAGGGCACAAATTCCAAGTTCACAACAGCAAATTTTCTACAATAGCTTTTAATTAAACACATATTTGTAGGGTAAGTGGTAGACATTTTATCCAAGAAGAGAAAAAAAAAATTGTTTTGATATTGCCCACACCTAACACTTACAACTTAGTATGGTAGAATTAGGTCTTTACAAAACAAGAACTAACCCAACAAATTGGTTTTACACATGCAAGAAGCCCAGCTGAGTCAAAAGGGTCTGAGGTTTGCGTGGATACTCTTTCACGCCTATTAGCAGATCAAGGCCTCCAGCCCTCTACTTTGAGAAGAATTCTATTAACTTTTGCATGAATAAGAAAAAAATAGCAAGCTCAAATTCTTTAAAATAGTCTTTCCTGTTACACACTTCCTTCCTCCACAAAATTCCTAACACTCAAAATGTGGCAGCTCAGAAACACAGGTATTGCTTCAAACTCGAACTAACAATCATGAGTGTGACAGTCTGATCTCTTAAAATGTAAACTGTAAATGATGAAAAGTGGATTCATCACATATAAATATTTTTACATACATTTATATGTTTAAAGGTGTCATTTCACATAGGACTGTTTTGCTGAAAATTAAGTTAATCACTACTTATTAAATCAGCATAATTGATTAAAAAAATTACTTAGAAATGGGATTAATAAAAAAAAAAAAAATCAGCCTCTTTTTCCTCAAGAAAATGCTAGCAATGCTTTGGTATTTTGGCTAGTTCTATTATATGAGCCAGGACGTGTAATAAGAAGAATAAAATAAAATGGTTTATTAAATCCTGAACAATCTGGAAAAATCTTTATTGTGGGGAAAAAAGTATGCTATTAGCATGTTTGTATTTCTACATAGCTTGAAAATATGTTGCAAACATGCAACAGATGGTCTGATGTTATTTGACGTGTTTTAGGTTTTTTAAAACTATCTGCAGCCCCATCCTCTCTAAAAAACCACAGCTTAGCTGGGATTTGCCTGCAATTTATCAGTGAATTTAGATTGCATTTGCCACAGTCGTAACAGCAGCTGCCTTGGCCCACCACCAGGCCTTGGTCACTTCTGAAACCATTATGTAAGCCCTACACCTAGCAGTAGTAAAACATAAGTTTTCGTACTTCAAATGGTAAGAATATTTTAGTCAGATTTACTTAAGAGGTTATAAAAACAGCAAGATATCCTTAATTAATATTTAAAAGCTACAAATTATCACTGAAACATTTTTTGCCTCTGGTTAAGAATTCTATTGCCAAAACCTGTGATAAATTATGCAGATGGTAAATTGTAGGACTTCAGACACCACAACATTTCAATGAACTGTTAACCCATACATTAAAGGAACTACTGGGAACAAGAACTGCTAAAAGAATAGTATTTATTGTTTTTAAGAGGAGGAAGTGAAAGCAAAGAGATTGCTATTTCTAAAAGTGATTCAGCATACTATTTGCTAAAGTTTACACATAGATTTTTATATAAAGTATGCAGAAGTTCTAGAAGAAATGAGCTACATACTCTTAATGAATCCTCCGATCAGCTTAATAGTACTGATTTCATGTTCAGAGTATGCTTGTACTTGCACTGATAAAACTCAAAGAGGGACCATACCGTTGCACTTCTTGGATCCTGGAAGGCTCTAGCTGCACCATCCTGCTGGGGCTCACGTGAAGCGGCAGAGTGGTTCAATCCTGATGTGTTTGAGGGTCCAGCATCAGACTTCCTGGATGAATTGACTTCTGCCTACAAGGAGTACATATGTACGCTTCAGAGACAAGATCAAAATTGCTCCAAAAAGATTTAGCTTATTTTGGAATGTCTATTTCGATGTATGGAGAATATGAGACTTACTGAAATGTAATAATCAAGTACGCCAACTGCATTTCAATTACACACCACCAGGTTTAAGAAATTCTCATTCTTTAAAAATAAGACTATATATGCGCAAACATCAGTTTAAAAAAAAAATTTTGTTTGCACATAACAACAGGTAGAACATTCAAAAAACCGCACAGATGTAGAGCAAAAAAGAAAATTCTTTAGAAGATCCAGGATAACACTATGCAAGAAATAACACCATTCTTTAAAACTTCTTTTTCTCTCATGTCCTTCGGTGAATGCTGACCACTGTTGTTACAAGTAAACTAATATAGCCTGTTCCTCAGCAGGGCTAACTAGCCTCTCGTAAGTGCTAATTTAATGTGGCTATACTGGTTCTAGTACCGAAGTTGCCCGACAGCCAGAGCAGGCATATATGCATGGCACTATACTGTGTCAGGCACACATACCTCAGTTTCCAGTGTTTAAGTTTCAGCACAAGCAGAGCAAAAGAAAAAATACAAGTCATATAATACTGCTTTTGTACGCATTTATTAAATGTCTAATAAGCATCAATTCTCAGAATTTAGGTTTCATGCTTTTGGAAATTTGAGACAAGAGATCAGTAGCGACATGTAGAAGATCATGAACAAACCTCTTGTTAAAACAATATATATGCCTTGGGAATGGAAAAGGACATAGCATCATAGTCCTGAACAGAAACACTTTAAAATTTACACATATTAAAAAAAGAGTCATGACCAGATCAATTTTTATCAGCAAGCAAGTCACCTCCCAAGTCATGTATCCAAATCTCAATTTATTATAAAGACAACAATTCCAAATTTAATACCTGTCTTCAAACGCAGATATAAGTAGTGGTAGTAGTAGTAAGAAATACACACACTGTATTAGAAACCAACCAGTTATGGTGATAACAAGCTGGTAAGATCACAAGATAATATTCTTTCATGATACTATTTTGTGTGAGGAAATTAACTTCCCTGTTTCTTGATGTTTATTATCTCAGGAGAATCCAAACAATATATCACTGAAACAACCCGAAGATGAATTTTAAATTTAAAAACATTTATAGTCTAACAACACTGCTTTCCTTTTGCACTTGCCTATTATTAACTCTAATATTAGATAGGACAAGTTATGACTCAAATACAGACCAGCAACAAAGCAACACAGGATTATGAATAATTTAGGCTGGAAGGGACCTCTAGACATTACCTGGTCCAACTCCCTCCTCAAAGTAGAGACATGTTCAGTCAATTTTTGAGCATCTCCAAAGCTGGAGATTCCACAGCCTCTCGGGGTAGCTTGCTCCAGCATTCGACAACCCGCAGGGTGAATTTCCCTTTCCCATATCTAGTTGTTGGTTCCTTCCCTGGAACCTGTGACCACCGCTTTTCATACTTCTGCTTTTTCCAAGAAGAGCTCATTTCATCTTTACTATTAATCTCCATAAACCACATACACTACAAAATGCGCATTTGATTTATTCTACTTTATGAAAGTACTAAGTCTAGTATGCAGACTGAAGTCACACTAACATTCAAGAAATACGAAGCACTTGAAAGTTCCCAAAACTGAAATATGTTTTTTTGTCACCTAGTCTCTCTTCACCAGCCCTCACCTCTGCTTCCAGAAAAGCTGGACAGAACACAGACATCAAGGAAAGAAGATCAACATACTTAAACATAATAATGATGATGAGTGGATAATTAATTTTACTGCAAAATATGCCTTGTGATGGCAACATGCAGATAAACCATATTATTTTACAGTAATGTATATGCTATTAGTCACCTATCTTTTCTGTTTTCTTTTAAGTGGAAAGGAATTTATGATATATAGCACCTAAAATGCACAAAACAATTTGCAAGTCAATGTAAAGCAGATTAAAAAAAAAGTGATTTTCTATTAAACAGACAGGAACAAAGGTGGAGGCTCACAGAAGCAGGAAAATTGTAATGAGGAAACGTGGTTTGGTTTTTTTTCTCCTGAATTCCATATTCCTTTCTCAATACCACACATGAGGGTCTTTTAAAAGTTACCATTTTGCTTAAGGCTGGTATGAAAGATTTTCTCATAATCTCAGGATCATCTAGAAAAAGTTAGGAAATCTCTTCTTTAAGGATAAAGATAATGCAGAGATTGCTAGTATGTTTGCTAGTAGAGAGGCGCTCTCAAATTATATGCTCAATCAGCAATCTGATGTTAAATCTTACCCCATAAATTGACATGGAATATATCCAAATGATTAAAAACTTTTGTATTCCCTGCTAGTAATTCAACTCTTAGTTTACTACAAACACAGCAATCAAATGTCTCAGCCTAACATTAATCAAATAAACAATAACAAAGTCAAGCAGAGCAGAGAAGCAGGAAGCTTCAAAAAAACAATCCCTAAAATTTGATTTGAGAAAGGGAGGGAAGCTGCAACCAGAGGACAGAACTGATCTACCTTGTAAAAAAAAAACCACAATGGATTGTAAAAGGCTGTAGAAACCTGAGGCTTTTGTTCATTTTTCCCCTGCTGAGTGCTTGTTCTTAGGAGGTGGAGTTAAGTATGTGGATACATGGAACACACCAATATTCTTTAGAGACTGATGTCCCTAAGTCTTTCATTTTAAAACTGAAAAAGGTATGAAATGTAAGAGTTCGTTCTCAAAAAAAAAGAGTTATACTCTGATATTTCTAGAATTTTTGTGATGAAGATTAGCAGTTCTTAAGTAAAAATTAATCAGACACTTTTTAACCCTTACATATTGTAAAAAAAGCCAGGAGCAGGCAGTCCATTGCTTCTCTGAGTAGCTCAACTTTAAAACTCTGGCCCTGCATCTCCTCATCTCTGTAAAATATTTTGAGATGTTGTTATCATAAGCATTATTACACACAGACTCAACCATGTCAACATATCTAGATGCAAGATCACACAGGAACACACAGGTCCTGCAAAACTGACAGTAATGCTCAGTAGAAGGCAATCTTTACTCTCATGGCACCCACAGGAAAAAAACCCAAAATAGCAGCCTTAGGACAGTGTTAGGAGAACATTGCTGATAAAAGGGGATATACTGGCATCCCTGACCTTAGTGAGGATGTATTCTGCACCAATGCCACACTGTCATAATATATTCCACTGTAGTTCGCTGCCCTCACGCACAGCAGTCTTCCTTAGTGGCCGATTTAAGAGTTTAGTGGAAAACCCAGTGAAAAACAACACTGTGCATGCAAGACATGCAATTTTCTAAGCCACGTATTTGGCTAAACAAACCTTACTTTCACTGAAACACAAGCTAGAGAACACATTTTTGGGTAACAGCAACTTCCATACCAGAGTTCAACTTTCAGTATCTTCAGCTGCAGAGTAGTTCAAAAGAATTTGCAACCATTTTTCAGTAGGAATATGTTTTATTCCTTCCATAAGCCAAACGGAGGAGGGAGGGGGAGGACGGGAATCACAAAGGAAAAAAAATTCAGGTTAGCTTTGCCCAAACTTTCCTAACACTTTTATGATTAAGACTAATTCTGGAGAATTTAATCAAGTTATTAGTGACTGAAAACATGGAAGTAAAAGCAACATAGTTAGGCAGTTCTTACCACAGTGCTCACCACTGAAATTAAAACTAATCAGAGTTTGAGATGCACAATGTATTAATTGGCACATTGCCAGAGATCCACTCCTATTCAGACTGTCCTAAAAAAACCATATTTCCACATAGTGGCTGATGAAGGTTTATGAAATGATGAAATGTTTCTGCAATTTACAAGTTTTTCCTCAATATTTTTTTTTTTAATTCTATACAACAGAGATAAAAGTTTAAACAGTGACTTCACCTTGAAGCTAATTTGTCTGGCAAGTTCTTTAGCCTCCTTGTCCGCCTGGCTCGACACGCTTCCGGATGTTAGTGGTAAGAGGGCTGTCTTCATAGATGTGCCACACATTTCACAACAAAAGTCTTGTGACCTGGCCACAAATGACATAGCTCAGAATAGCATGTTCTCATATTGTTCTTGTGTGCTTGTTTAAACAAACTATTTGCAAAACAACCCACAGAAAGACAAGTGGTGTCAAGACCAGTAGCTTAAAAGTACTTCCCCCTGCCTCAAATCACAATAACTTGAAAAAAATAAGTCAAGAATTATCTATACTACAAACACATATTCTCTCATGTCATTTAGGAAAATATTAAAAACTGACTTATATTGCTATTATCTATACTTTATTAATAGTTTGTTACCATTTTAAAACTCACTTTGTATCTGCAGCAGATTAAAATTGTAAATTATAAAGATCTACTATTATTACAAATACTAAATTGGACCCAGGAGCTTGAACCTCAAATCCAGGCATTTCAGCTTCTGCAAGAGCATTACCTTTCCTCTCTTGCACACCTAATTTGTCTATAGGACACGCTGCAGGCAGTTTCTCCAAGCCAATGAGAAACCAACACAGCCTTGATAGTACAGTATCAAGACCAACCCACTGAACCCTACCTCTCAGCAGGGTTTATTGGCTTTGACTCAGTGCCATGTTAACAGGAAAGCTGCAGCTTCTGATTCACTCACAGTACAGGCAGAATAAGTTCAAATCTGCCTGCAAAATAAGGTACTATTGCAATATGGAATACAGTAACTTTGCTCAAAAGACAGGGATATGGTCTTTCAAGTACCACCTTCTCCCCAGATGGGGAAAGGAGAAAGACCAAAAAAACCCCACAGGTACAAGGTTTCATTTAAGGATAATCACAGAAGAGCTGAGGTTGGGAAGGACCTCTGGAGGTCATTTAGTCCAGTCTCCTTGCTCAAAGCAGGGTCAAGCAGAGCATGTTGCTCAGGTCTGTTTCCAGTCACATTTTTAATACCTCCAAGCATAGAGACTCCACCACCTCTCTGGGAAACCTGTGCTAGTGCTTTCACCATATTCACAGTAAAAAAGTGTTTTCTTGCATTCAGATTGAATTCTGTGGGTTTCAGTTTGTGCCCATTGCCTCTTGTCCTTTCACTGGATGCCACTGAGAAGAGTCTGGCTCTGCCTTCTTCACACCTTCCTTTCACCTATTTGTACACATGGGTAAGATCCCCCAAGCCTTCTCTTCTCTAGGCTGAACACTGCCAGCTCTCTTAGCCTCTCCTTGTACGAAACACGTTTCAGCCACTCAAACACCTTTGTGGCACTGCACTGGACTTGCTCCAGTAAGTCTGTATCTTTCTTGTACCCTGACCTGGACACAGCCCTAACCTGGACCCAGCACTCCAGATGTCTCACCAGTGCTGAGTACAGAGGAAGGATCACTTCCCTTGACCTGCCGGCAATGCTCTTCCTAATGCAGGCCAGGGTACTATTCGCCTTCTTTGCTTCAAGGGCACATTGCTGTCTCATGATCAGCTTGGTGTCCACCAGGCCCCCCAGATCCTCCCCTTCCAAGCTCCTCTCCAGCTGGTTGGCTGGCATTATTCCTCCCCAGGAGCAGGACTTCGCTTTTCTCTTTGTTGAAGTTGATGAGATTCCTCCAGCCCGTGACGTGCCTCTGGATGGCAGCACAACCTTCTGGTGTATCAGCCACTCCTCCCAGTTTTATATCATCTGCAAACTTGCTGAGGGTGCACTCTGCCCCACCATCCAGGTCATTAATGACACTGAATAGCACTGGCCCCAGTATCGGCCCCTGCAGTACACCAGTAGCGACTGGCCTGCAGCTGGAGTTTGTGCTGCTTACCACAATCCACAAGCCAGGCAGCTCTGCTAGTTCTTAATCCACCTTACTGTACCCACATACTTAGGCTGTACTTCATGAGTTTCTCTATGAGGATGGTAAAGAAGACAGCACCAAAAGCCTTGCTAAAGTCAAGATAAACAACATCCACTGCTTTCTCCTTGTCCACTAAGCTAATCATTTCATCATAGTCACAAATCTAATTTTAAGGTGATTTCCTAAAAATCATTCGGAAGCAGTTGCTTCAAATTTTTTTGTTGTTGTTTCATTATTATTATTTACTTAAGGGAAATGATACATTGTTTTGGTTGTTTTCTCCCCCACTTACACTAACTATCGATCCCATCATACTAATTTTCCCTCCACACTGCAATTACCACTGTATCACAATGTTAATTACATCTCCAAGCCTGAATTTCAGACAAACCTCTAATTTGACCACACAATGCCGGAAGGAACACAGCCCTCTCAAAGTATTTTGTTTGACCATAAGTTCCGAGTTTGCATAATGTTCAAGAAAAAAAGAATCTATACAAGGCATAAAACTCTTTTTGTATTTGGAATAAATGTAAGAGAACAGAGAGAAGCGACTGACTTTCTACTCAATGTTTTACCCTAAAAGACAGTACATATAAATGTACCTACAGTAACAAACTTAGTGCTTACTTCTTTGCAAGAGCTCTTCTTTCTTCTGGTGTATAATCTAGAGATCCTATTGCTCCTTCACCTTTGGTTGGCATAAATCCAATAATGGCTAGTAAAGCTGTTCTTACTAAAATGGGAAAACAGAGATATAAACAACATTGCAGAAACAACTGTCATTTCATCTCACTCTATGCTCAGTATAGAGAAGTTGCAGTTCTGATTGCAAAACTTCATTTTGTCCAAAGAAGTAGTCTGAATTTCATACAAGCAGCGCTGGTTTTCTTGGCACACAGTATGGCTTTCCTCATTTTTTAAACTTCACATTATAAATGAAAGGTAAGGCCTTATTCTTCCATCAGCCAACACAGAGAAGAAAAGGTAAGTTGTCACAAAAATGTTGCATCAATATAAAGATCAGAGTTCCAGACTTTAAAACTGGGTTCTGAAGGAAAAAAAGGTAAGGCAGAATTGACATTTAAATGGGGGGAAAAGAAGAGGAGGATTCATAAGGCATTCTTCTTTTTCTGTGTGTTTTAGACAATTAGACATGAATTCTGCAATTTAGTGCACACAAGCTCAGTGGTTTTCTTTTATGCAATGTACTGCAGAATTTGTTCCTTTTATGTCATCAGGCTGAGAAGCACCTTAAATACTAATAACAGCTCATAACAGAATTGTCATGTAAAACATCTCTTTTGACAATATCTATTCTTCAATTTTGTTTTACATAGCAATGAAATTTGAGAATTCAAGACACTTTGCTAGTAGATTGGGTAAATAAATATCACATGAAGATAAGTACCACAAAATAGAGATAGGATATTTACACCTCCTACTTAGAAGACAGTATTTTTAAAAAATACTCTTTAAAAAAACATAACAGACTTTACAAAAGTTGAAGAGTTGTCTGCTAGAAAATTCCCAAGGTATTATCAACATATTTCAAAAGTGCAACTGATATCCACAGAAATAATTGATGTACTGTACTCAGCAAAACTAAAATTATATAAACAGAGAAATACTGCCTTGGATGAATTGTGCCAACTCTCAATTTCTGTGATAATGAAACTTAAAAAAAAAAAAAGGTAGAAAAACATTCCATTATTCTGAACTCAGACCACATTGTCTTCCCTCTTGAGTGTTCAGAAGTACAGCATCAGAATTAAAAGCTGACCACACTCCCCTCTATCAATATTCAAGCTGGTTTTAGTGATTATACAAAAATGGAGTAACGTAATAGGATTTAAACTATTTTTGTTAGAACAATTAAAAAAAACCCAAACCAACCAAAAAATATTCCAAGTAGTCTGAGAATTCTTAATGCTTATGCATCCAAGTAAATAGGAGCTTACCATCACCCCTCAGTTTCTCAACCCTTTCACCCCGCATGTATTTAATACCATTCCCAAATCCTCCTATGTTGCTCTTTCATGGCTTTACATTTCTCAGATTCTCCCATACTTTTACTCCCTCAAAATCTGTCTCCTCCTCCACTATAAATATTCTTTGTGAGATTTTTATTTTCAGTTTAATGATCTAGTTGCTTGATGGGGGTAACGTTTTCCAAATAATTGTTACTTACTACTCCACGAAGGCTGCCATGTTTCAGGATGATGCCCTGAGATGCTTAAACAAATTTTCTTCCCCACTTCAAACCTGCCATTGGCCTTCAAAGGAAGAAGGAGGATATAATAAAACATGCTGGAAGTTAACTCCTGGTTTTTGGTGTAAGTTATAAAAATCATCATCAAACAAATCTATATGCAAACAATACTTGATAATTTTATTACTGTCAACCTCAAAAAACTGGCATTCAGCTTTCCAAAGAAGTCTGCCATCTGCCTCTATTCATGCATGAAGAAACCTTAACTGATACCTCACATGTCCCAGTGTGACACAGTGGCTTGCCTGTTGCTCCTGTAACCCATACCCCACATGCAGAGAACCTGAAAAGCTATAGCTCTATGAAACTATGCACAAATATGAGCCTTTGCCCCAAACCATAGGTCTGCCTTCCTGCATGTGACCAATGCCTCCAACAGAGACCAAGAGGGCCCATGGAGAGAACAGAAAGTTAGACAATCACATCAGCAATGTGATTACTCCCGGAGGAAACTTCCATGTATTAGGTGCAAAGCTTCATGTAATTGCAGAATACCAAAGTCACCTTGGAAGACTTGGTCTTAAATTGGCAGCATTAACTGTACTATGCCACCTTTCTTACAAAAATAACATTACCTTAAATGCCAAGAATCTCTCTCTTGGACACCTACGGTTAAATTGATCACGTAAAAAGAAAAAAAACTAGTAAACATGCTTACCGTCAGCAAAATAATGCTGGGTGGTTTCATGGGATATTCAGGTGGTAGTACTATTCGCCCGTGATAAATCCCTCCATCGAAATCTGAATCTGGAGGGCCTCTAACAGTAAAGTGCCATTCAAAAAGATTATCCTGAAATGCCCCCACCAAAGGGAGAAGAACGAAAAGGAAAAAAAAAAAAAAAAAAAAAAAAAAAAAAAAAAAAAAGAGTGTGTCAAAGAAGTAGACAACTAAACACCATTTTCTTGAACAAGGACAGGCTAATTTTTAAGAAGTCAAAATCAAATGGAGAGTAAGACAATGAACACAGTAATAAGAGTCTGATTAAAAGGATAAAACATTGTAGCTTTCTGGTAATTTTCTTAAACAATGGCTTTATTGAAACCCTCAAACTCATTATTCAAGCTCTTCACTCCAGTTGTTTCAATTATGACAAGAGTTTTATTACCAAACAGATGAAAAACTGAGTCAAATAAGGGAAAACTGGGTCTTTGCCCCAGTGAATAATAATTTCTAGAGAACCAAGGGGAGACCCATCCCAAGAAAGGACATTAATTACAGCCTCCCCAAAGCCACTTCAATGCCGAAGTCAACACAGGGATTTGACTCACACCCCAGAGAATTCCCATCCTCTTTTGGTTCTCCATAAACAATTTTGAAACAGCTACTGTGCCTTACTAGACAACAGGTATAGTTTGAAATTTGGAATATTATTTTCATTGGACATATAAATAGCTTCTCTTTAAGCATTATTCCTTTGGGGTTCAGTGTTTGGCTTTGCATATCAGATCTCGTGATGCCCACAACTTCCTGAATATTTACAAGCAGAACAACTTCTACTGCTAGGACAGGAGTCCAAATGAGGCTTGCTGTCAGTGAATGAGATCTCTCAGCTAGTGCTGAACACTGGTATCACAGGGCTGTGACTGCCCACCTAGTGACAATTTTTTCAAGGATGGGAGGTAACTGTCAACTTTTCCAGCATTTCCTTTCATCTGCCACTGTTCTCTTCCCAGCGAGTCACTGTTCTAACCCAGAAACAAGACCATCATGTAAGTTACAAGTAATAGCATGAATTAAACCTTAAATTTCAGCACAAGAAGGTGAAACACAAGGTACAGACAAAAACTAGTCAATAAAAAGGTATATTTTACAGCACCTAGGAACACGCTATTTTCTGTAAGCATGTTAAGAGTGCTACGCATTTCTGAGAACAGCTAAATCAAACCCCTGAACTGAATGCCACAGAACATTGCCTTTTTTATTATTCCAGCAAAATCCGAAGAGGTTTCTGTTTAAGCTTCTAACCACCAGAATTTCACCATCCTCTCAGCCCAAAAACTTAACTGGATGTTTAGAAGACTTCAAGAAGCTACTATTTAAGTGGAATCCAAGCATTCTCTCTTACAATGCATCCAGAATTGCACCCGTTCATGTTTTTCACAGTTTTTTTGTATGCAAAATAGTGAATCCTCATAGATCACCTAGGCTTAAGTGTTTTGTTGAGCAACTCAGCAACTGAGCCAGATGTCAGACTTGGGTGTAAAAAGCTTAACTTAAAACATAATGCATTTATGTAGTCTTAGGAAGGGGGGGTGGGGGAGGGTGTGAATAAACATATTACACCTGTGCGATACAACTACTCAGGTGCAATGTAAACCCGGCATTATGTACTTTCACTAACAACCTGGAACTACAATACCATTAAAGTGGAATTCTGCTGTTTATTTCCATCATAGGGAAAAAAGAACTGAATCAATTTTAAAAAGTCTGCTAGTATCTAAATATGTACATTTTAAATACATATGCATACAGAGAACTTAAGAGTATATATTAATAACACAGCCTAACTACAAGCTCTTGCAAACATAGAGAAACAAACCTCCAAAGGCTGTGCATGATAATGATCTGTAGGATCCTTCAGTTCTGCAGCCTCTTTCATCAAACGTTTGACAGCTGAAAAAAAGAAAGTGTAAGACATGAAAATGAAGGAAAAAAAATTAATATGCATTGCATAAAAAAAAATACGTAAACATTTCCTGAAGAGCTCCTTTCAGCTAACTAATCTTTTTCAGCACATTCTTCACTGGAGTTAATAATCCAAGACACAATATAAATTACTCACGCTGAATAAATCTTATATGAGTTATACAAGCACAAAGTTATGAAAAATACGTTGCATGGTCACAGAGTTTCTCAACACTGAACCCTGGGACTAAAGTAGTTTTACATTATTAATTGCACCAAAGACTTGAGGAAAAACCCAGGTGTCATTAACAGAGTTTCAGACTTCAAATACAAGACATACAAGACTAATAACCTCAACATTTTATCATAAAGGACACCATGTGCATCTTTAAACAACTGCTGAAAAACTTGACTCTCACACCTTGCATGACTATTACATGACTACTCCCTTATTTGTTCCAAAGGAGGTCACAATAAGATTTGAGAGAAAACAACACACCAGTACTATGAGGAGATGAAGTTTTAGACTAGATTTGAAAACATATATGCTCAGCCAGAAAAGTTTTCCCAGGGCCTTTGTAATTTGAACCTACTACTGAGTATTCAGGATAGTCATTAGTTACCCTCTCCAATCTTCTACTTCAGAACCACCAGCATCATCTCTATTCTCTGCATCCCTGTTTTCCTTCCCCTTTAGTAAATTCTGTCAGATCACTTGTCCTGCCAGGTGTCCTTGTGTGCATCATGCATTAATGCCTAATAAAGAACTCTGACAAACTGAAGAGCAGACTAAACGTAAGAACTACAGACAAGAAATTCAAGGATGCCACCTCATGAATAAGGTTAGGTAGAGAATTCTTACTCCCTCCTACTTACTGGAAAAAGTGCAAATACCAGTTACCTATTCAACCAACTACAGGATCCCTTAGCAACAGGATCCCTTAATCCATCCTCCACATTCAGTTCAAACCATGGATGTCCTTCCCACTCATGTAATTATCTAAGTACAAAGGAGAAACACTGCCCAAATTCCCTTACAGTATAAACATAAAGATCTGGTGAAAGTGAACCGTAACTCCTCAATTTACAAAGCCTGGCATCACTAGCTGACTGTAGGCTGTGTAGCATGCTCAGACTCCAGGGCTTTACTCACTTTCATGATGCTGTAAGGGAAGCTACTCTAACCTTCCTGCAGAGGAATTTTAATTTCAGTCTACTGTGAAAAGAAGTTCTCCTCCTTCGCACTTCCCGACAGTTGTAAACAACAGCTTGAAGTTTGAGAATTTCACTTCTTACAACCCAAAAAGCAAACAGACTATGCGGAAATTTACTGCTGCCACTTGTCCCAAATTAAACACCCTGCAGAGACCACAAGGTCACATCACAGGCAGCAGCATGCAGGCTCTGCCGAAGAACAGTTTGACTCTTTTGTCTGCATTAAGACTTACCAGTTCACTAGCAAGGAATAAGAAGAAAACCAGTCTGGACCAGAAAAGGCTTCAGACCCAGCACTGCTTCACAGCCAACAAGCCTGGACACTAGCCTTGAGAAGAACAGTGGCACACACCAGAATAAGCTAATTCAGGAGTGAACGCCCCATGAAGCAAAAGGGTAACCATGAGAAAACTGAGATAATGAAGCCTAACGAAGACAGAATAGACATGGGCAAGGCAGACAACTGTTACTTAGATTTCCCAGACAAGGGATCAAGACAGAAAAGAAATACAGTCCCCCTATATCAGCATCACGTGCAGGTACCCATTTTAACTGAGGGAAAGCTAACTGTTAGAGGGGGAAAAAAAAAAAATTCAAGATCATTCTACAAAAGTCTGCCGACATGCAGAGAAAGGTTTGTACCCAGCCTACTAGCTTGAAACTGGGTGCAGGATCTTTGGCAGTGCACATCAGCACTCCAGATTTGTCCCAAAAGAAACAGCCTTTTTACCGCTTCAGCTCCAAGGCTGTCCCCTGGGTGCTGAATGCCAGCAGCTGGCAGGCAGAAACACAGAAACCAAGGGTTTGCACTGAGAAGTAACTGAGACGCAGCCAGGTGGGGACAACAAGCAGGTGGGCTCCTGTTAAGTAGAATTTAAAATGGAAACAGTTTAAAACATGTTTTCTTAACATACTTTTTGTATTTAACAGCGACAGTGATACTGTATGTATTTTTTCATAGCATTACTTTATTATCAAGAAGCCAGACTATGGATATTTTAAGAAGCCAACATAAAATGCACTGAAAGAATATGAAATATTATTCCACTCTTGGAGCACGAAATACAGCAAAATATATAATTTAGCTTTTGTATACCATAAAGATAATTTGTTTATAAGAAGTTTTCAGTATTAAGCAACCTAGGATATCTACAAAAAAGAAGCACAAATATAGCGAAAAAGGCTAAGAAAAAGCAGTGCATATATATGAAGAAAGTCTGAGAGAGTTTGGGTTGTTCAGCCTGGAGAAGAGAAGGCTCTAGGGAGCCCTCCATGGCCTCTCAATACTTAACAAGGGGCTTGTAAGAAAGACAGACAGAGACTTTTTACCACAGCCTGTAGTGAGAGGACAAAGGGGGCAGTGGTTTTAAACTGAAAAAGGGCAGGTTTAGATTGGACATAAGGAAGAAATTCCTTACGATGAGGGTGGTGAGACACTGGAACTGGTTGCCCAGAGAAATTGTGGATGCCCCATCCCTGGAAGTGTTCAAGGCCAGGTTGGATGGGGCTTTGAGCAACCTGGTCTAGTGGAAAACGTCCCTGCCCATGGCTGGGGGGTTGGACTAGATGAGCTTTGAATGACCTTCCCAACCCAAACCATTCTGTGATTCTATTTCCACATTGCTGAAAAATGCCAACTGACAGGCTGCGAAGAACAGCCCGGACCGACAAAGGTTCTTTCTGAGAACATGTGATCCAGTGAAGAAAGCATTAAATTGTTTCTTCTTTAAGCATAGCTCCAGTATTCATCAACACAGTCCCTCCTTTGGCTACTGAAAACCGCAATGGAAGAAACAAATGTAATTCACAAAGTCTGCCTGCAACAAGTACATGACATTCTTATCCAAACGTCATTAAAAAGAGTTTTGATGCAAAATACGGTATTTCAACCCACTTAAAATCACACTGAGTCATCCGACTAAAAGTTTGGCAATGGCAATTCTGAAAAATGAGAACGGTTTAGGCCCATTCAAAATAAAGAATTGCAAACTGTCAATAAAGTCAAAAAGTATCACTAATTCAGCCAAAAAAAATTCAAATCAAGACATTCAATTTGTCAAGGACAGATTTTAGAGACAAAATAATCAAGGTATTTTTTACTGTGGCATGACTGTCAGCATGAAAAATAACCATGCTTTCACAGGTACACTTGGCTACGATTTATCATAATGTTCATTGAAATTAAATACTGAGGAAATTAAGTTTCTGAGCTAACTCTAGAAAGCAAAGGAGAGTTCCTGCCCTGGCAAGGAGGCATGGGAGCTCTCCACCGCTCTGGGGAGGAAAGGAAAGAGCGGGTGCTGTGGGCCAGAGGCTCTGCCTGACAATCTGCCTCTTGTACTACACCGAAACTACCGATTTCTTCTGAAAAGCAAAACATGGATGTTAAAAATCTAGGAATCAAATTTAAAGCCACCAGCTTGCTGTAGGATTGAGCTGCAGTGGAATAACACAATTACACAAGATTTGTAAAATGTATGCATGTATGATTTGTAGATCTATTTCTGTCAGAAACTGTGTCCTGGTCAAATCCCACTTCTTAATAACATTTACCTTAAGCTATCCTGAAATTTCTGTTCAACACAACTGCTTCTTTCGGATATATCTTGAAGTCACATTCAAGTACTCCTGCTATCACACCCAACTAGACTAGTCTGCACCTTGTGGCCTGGGAAACCCTTCTGCGCACAGAAAATGCAAGTGATCAGGCTTCATAAATGTCAACATTACTGCTTAAAGAGATGATGGGATTTGAACATCGGTGGTGTTCTCTTAGTAAAATATTATGCCTTAATTTTACAAAATCTGTTATTGTGAAAATAAAAATAGTCTTAAAATAAAGCAAATATATTTAGCCTTACAGAGCTTTGTTTTGTTAGTAGTCTTCTGTATTTAATAAGGAAGGATTTTAATTCATTTTTACATTATCAGTGAACAGTACATGTGGCAATCAAATGAGCTGACCAAGGTTATATTAATGTAAACATAACACACAACAGTGCAACAGGATTTATTTCAGCATAACAAAGTTGCATACCTTTTGCTCACTGGAAGTTCAGAAAATCTGATACAAGATCCAACTCCATCCAACGCTCGAAAACCAAAAACCCGGACACCATTACAAGCTTCCCGAAGATCTGCCACAACTTGTCTACAAAAGGCAACGGTACTCAGGTACAAGAGCTTAACAGGAGAAACAGACCTGGGCGAGGGGAGTGGTACAGGTGAGGTGGGTGACGTTGTAATCAAACCCAAGTTAGGAAGCACAGGAAGGGAGAGGCCTCAGTTCAGCAAGGCTCAGCCCCTAGTACTTCATCACATGGAGACAGGATTTTGTGCATGCAAAGATGACTGCAGGATCACCAGTGAAACAAGCTCATATTTAAGGGATACAGGTTCTGCGTGACAGCATCTTCATCAAATGCATAGCAACCATTTAATTCTACCAATTTTCAGTTCTTCTGTTTGAAAAAGAAAGGGTAAAATAAACAAATAAATAAAGGAACCCAAAACAGCTGTCATAAAGCTGGAGATCTCCTAATCTTTCAAGCTGACTTATCTGATCCGGAAAAAAAGGAAAAAAACAACCTGACAGCTTTCACTGCTTCAGCAAATGCCTTTTTTTTTTTTTTTTTTAAATGGCTGCTATTCTTAATTTGTTTCTTTACTTTAAATAAGATTTAGAGGTCTACTCAGGAGAAATACAGAAAAAGTAGTAATTTTTTCCCATGGCTCTGCGGACCAAGACAACATAAGTAAGGATGCAATTT